CCTGCTGAATGGGCTGGAAAGTGATTTCCTTCTCTTGCTTACACTGGAGCAGGGACATTTACAGACTCCTCCTTTCTCCTGTCATCAAGTCCTCAGCAGCATTGCCTTTCATCACAGAAACACCATCCCTTTAAGAAAATCCGTAAAAACCTTGACCATCCCTTTGTATAGAGCCCCTCTACCTACCACTCCTCTCTGCAGCACTGTGGAACACAGTCCTTGCCAACCCCCAGCACAAGCAACAACCTGCACATAGTCACCCCGCCTTTCCCAAGCCCAGCATTCCAAGGGTACCATTTTAGGATCACAGCTGCCTTCCCCACCACTGTCTCAGCTTGTGCTCCAGCAGCCTTCCAACACAGACCAACTGGTCTGTGCCTCTGCCACACATTGCCCATCACACAGTAGAATTCCCAAATACAAAGGCTCTGCATTTCCCATCAGTCCTCCCTTTGAGAAAATCCATCACTTCCTGCTTCCCCAAAAAGTTTCTCTTTCATACAATCCTATCCAGAGAGAAAACTATTGCTAAGCTGAACTTACAGACATTTTAGCTACAGAAAAATACACATTAACCCGCTGGGTAATTAGCACCCTCTTATAACCGCTAGTTCCTACATCAGTTTTCTTTTTTTCTCAGATATATTACTCAGAAGCTGTGGGGTGCATAATGAGGGATTATTTGACTGGGATGGAACAGATGCACTTTGCATGACAGTTCCAAATGTATCTGCAAACACATAACCTCACGCATGAAAACTGCCCTTGCAATTATAAAAGCAATTTGGACTGAAAATCGGCATCTAAAACACATTTAAAACAAACATTAGTATAAATAATTAAGATTATTGTATTCTGAAAAAGCCATTAGGCCTAACAGGTCAGCTCATTTTTATCCAGTCTGCCACTGGTGCCAGGAGCTTGTGCTGAAACCGATGCACGTAGACACGTGGCCCCTGCAGCACACCGTATGGAGAATTAAAATGTGATGCCTGGCTAAAGGAACCCAAACCAGTTCATTGCCTGAGCCCACAGACCTTCTCCTTTTCCCTGAACTGGTTTGAATTTAGCTGAAGCCCACCCCCATCACATGGTTGCCACTCTAGCTGTTGGAGGAAAGGGCCTGGGGAACTGAAGCTGGACCACTGCAGCTCATGACTGATGGTGTCTGAACCCTGTATCATTCTTCAGATGTAGAGCAAGACTTGCAGGAACTGTACCCTGAACATACCTGTTCTAACATTTTCCCTCTCAATCTGCACTAATGACTCCTAATATAGTTTTATATTCTGAATAGGCCTTAAATATCACAACTAGAAAGGCAAGAAAACAAACTTACATCCTATTGCAAGTGGCTGGTGCATGGAATAGCCTGTGTGAGACGTGGTTGCAGAGCTTTGAGAGCTGCTGAAGGCATTGACTGCAACCCATGGGAAAATTATCTCTTTTCAGGCATTTCCTAGTGGTTTTATTACATGGAAGTGTTAGCCTGATACTTGATCCCATCACACAGTAATTCCACAACATTTCCCTTACTGAACTGCATCATGAGAGGAATTACAGAAATGTCCCCCCAAACCTGGATATGCATCCTACGTCGCCCCTTTTTTCTTTTGCCTTTGCTCATTTCCTATTAGTTGCATTTAGCACAGATGATAAGGTTCAAAATCTAATTAAGGAATTTGCTGGGTCACAGGTCTCCTATGGTTTGCTTTACCACATGTTCTTTATTGCAATTTTGTGGGTTAATGGGCCGTTTATGGGTTGTTTATGTGCTCTCTTTAGCAAGGAGAACATATTTTCATCTTAATCTCTGGAGCGAACACTGTGTGCTCAGTTGCTCAGTGCGGGGTGGACAGCCGAGTATCAGGCTTAAGGACTGGAGAGCAATTAACCCAGGGGGTGAACCCTGCAGACACCCCCCCCAACCGACCTTTGAGCTCCAGCCAACCCCAGCCTTGGCCATCACCTTCGCCTCTACCTAATCCATCCAGTTTAGGAGCTGTTGGAACCAGCACCGTTAACGGCAGGATCAGCTGCTGCTGCTAAGTTTGTTTATTGTTTTATTTGCTGTCTCAGTCAAGAAACAACCTGATGATCAACAGACATATGTAGCAAAGAAAACGCTAATCCGGGGATTTAGATGGCTAGGAATATATTTTTTTCCCCTGAATGGGAGAGGAATTAAGGTATTAATTGCTGATGGTAAAATGCTCCACCGCAATGTTGAAATGGAGGTATTGCCATCTGCAAAGTGACACTTCTTACCTCCCCCTGCTCCCTTTTCAGGTCTTGCCTTCAGTCACAAGTGGTCTGCGAGGCAGCTTATAAAACACATCCCTTGCAGAAGAGCACCAACACATCAGCAGTTTCTCCTTGTTCAGCTCAGGCCAATTACCAGCGCAATTGTTAACCCCGGGTTCCCAAAAGCAAAAGCAATCTCCATCAAGAGGGAGAACTCTCAGGGAGAGGACTGGGGAGAGACACACTGCATGCAGCATGCCAGGCTGTGAGCAGCCCCGTCCTGCCAGTGCTGGCTAGGGTGGGCTGCCTCCCCCTGCTGCCCAGCCTGCCAGGACAGCAGGCACCAGGCACCGTGCCCACCATGCTCCTGGTGCCCAGGGCAGGCAGGGGGCTGCCTGTCACTCGCCAGTCTCCCAGAGGCACCTCCTGCTTTAGGGTCCTGCTACGAGTGCCTCACTCCTCCTGGGTGGAGATGGGTACAGCCTGGCTCGCCAGATGTCCAATACTGCCTTGGTACGGGAGGGTGGGAGGGACTTGCTGATGTACAAATTAATCAGTCTCTTCACCA